AGAAATAGTGTCTGATAATTTTTTAATGTTTACATCAATTGTCCTTCGTTCTTGTCATCATGAGGTCACAGAAATAGTGTCTGATAATGTTTTAATGTTGACATCAATTGTCCCTTGTTCTTGTCATCATGAGGTCACAGAAATAGTGTCTGATAATGTTTTAATGTTGACATCAATTGTCCCTCGTTCTTGTCATCATGAGGTCACAGAAATAGTGTCTGATAATGTTTTAATGTTGACATCAATTGTCCCTTGTTCTTGTCATCATGAGGTCACAGAAATAGTGTCTGATAATGTTTTAATGTTGACATCAAGTACCCTAGTTCTTGTAATCATGAGGTCACAGAAATAGTGTCTGATAATGTTTTAATGTTGACATCAATTGTCCTTCGTTCTTGTCATCATGAGGTCACAGAAATAGTGTCTGAATTATGTTTTAATGTTGACATCAATTGTCCCTTGTTCTTGTCATCATGAGGTCACAGAAATAGTGTCTGGTAATGTTTTAATGTTGACATCAATTGTCCTTCGTTCTTGTCATCATGAGGTCACAGAAATAGTGTCTGATAATGCTTCAGTTTTGACAACAATTGCTCCTTGTTCTTGTCTGAGTCGGAGGAAGAAGGCATCTGGGGTAGAAATCATTTTCCTACATCTTTCTGAGCTGAAAACATGATGTGGACCCCTACCTATATTATTCATTGACATTTAAAGTTATTATTTTCTTTTTTATATTCCGGATAAAAAGTCTGACTTATTTCCATCTGTGGTGCTCACAATCTGACAAGTGATGAATGTATTTCCTCAGAATCTATCAAATGTATCTTCATTAAAACAATTATCATGTATGTTTTTTATCTAATTCAGACTCCAAATAATCTTCTCGTTCTTTATCTGGCTCAGACCATCATCACGATGCAGGCTGCCACAATCACCATCCTCTTCAACGTCAGTTTTTGTTCCAATTGGGACTTCAGAAATCAGACAGCTGCATTTTTTATCGATATAATAAAGAAGCAAATGTGAAACTTGAAACTTGATGTTTTTTGTTTGACATTATTATCTACTTATTTAAATTACAGCAAGCGGAGGAGAATTGCCAAGACTTTTAAAAAATACCTCTTTGTGCTGTATTTACATGACATTTAGATAATGTTTTTGTCAAGTCTTATTTAATGCTGCAATAACACGTAGTCTTCAAGAGGCTGTTGATGTTAGCAGGAAACAATATTCAATCAAGCACCTGTTGGTGGATTCCAAGTTTCTTATGGATGTCTCTAAATATATACGTTTCCAGAGTTCTTTATTTTTAAACATACTGAACAAAACAAGTTAGGGATCGTAAAAGGTTATTTTTTGTCATGAAGACCGGGCCCAATCTTAAAAAATATCCCCACAAATTTTCATGATCCCTTACTTTTTTTGTTCAGCATATAAACATCACTGAAATGATGAAATATAGGTGGTGGTGAAATGGGACTTATTGTCTCCTTCAAGATTATTTCACTCATATAGGGATTTGCATGCAAGTGTGTGGCACCAGTCTGGACTAATGCCGCAGTTTTTAACAGAGATATCCAATTCAGACACGGTAAACTGACTCAAGCCAATCAGGCAGGGTAACAGTAAGTATCATCTTTTAATGTCTTTTGGTATGACGCGATTGAGGATTGCACCACTGACCTTGAGCTCTCCGGGCAGACGTTTCCACTGGACCACGCAGGCGGTCAAAACATTATGTAACTAATAGGTGGGTGCATTTCACAGGAATTCCTTAGCAGTCAAAATATTAATAAGGAAGATATAAAGTACATGACATTTAATTACTAGTATTCAGATTTACTTGCCAAAGAAACACTTTCTTACTTGCGATTCCACCAAAATACCCTCTGTGCCAAATACACATATACATGAACATATATACAAAAAACATCTTTCTTCAACTATTTCTCTTTTGGTCCCTTCCAAATTGTAAAGAAAGATTTTTTTTAACTCTATTCAACCACACCCATAAGCCAAAAAAGCAATTTCCCGGTTAACATATTCCTGTTTTTTTTTTTATCCAATATCTTTACCATAATTGGGTTGTTTGCTACAAACATATCTGTAATTAAATCTATTTCTAACAACGTACAAATCGGCCCAGATGATAGCCTCAATCACCTTTAAGAAGATTATTCAATCAAAATAAGGATTGGTACTGATGTCAAATTAAGTACGTTTCCTTGTCAAACCCTTGTTCTGACCTGTAGAGCGTCAATCTCAGCTTTCCCGAATAGGTTTGTTTCAGTTCTTGATTGATGTTGCGTGTCTGGCCTCGTCTTGTCCATACCATTCTCATTTGTCACTCAATGGCTCCTGTTCATTTCACGACTGATCCAGAGAAGGGGAGGCGAAAAATGAAAACGCTGACATATTTGATAATTGGCATTCCAGGTGACCATCTCATGACTTGCAAATCGTCTCCTAATGAATCAATTTCTCGGTGGAGCGCAGTCATCAAGCGGAGATTTATCCTTATTTGATTTGGCCATGGACAGGCAGAAGCATTCATCATCTCAAATAGCGTCCTTGTGTTAACTTGCCACTACCTCCATGGCTATTCATATTGTTCTCGGCAAGGAATTATGTAAGATATATAGACGCTCAACAAAAACATTACTAAGCTGCATCAACTTAAGGATTCATGACTTGCAAATCCTGGTGATAATATTCCCTCTGCTGATGTAGCCGAAAGATGAATTCCATACTCAATGAACATGATCCATCTTCATTACGATATTCCTCAACGAACAATTTATTACACATTGCAAACTGAGTTGTTGATGAACCCACTGACAAAACATGGACTAGGTGACGGTGGGAGTCTTCAGGAGACTTTGTGTTGAATTGTGTTGAACCCACAGACAACATGGACAAGGTGACAGTGGATGTCTTCAGGAGACTCTGTGTTGAATTGTGTTGAACCCACAGACAACATGGGCAAGGTGACAGTGGGTGTCTTCAGGAGACTTTGTGTTGAACCCACAGCAACATGGACAAGGTGACAGTGGGTGTCTTCAGGAGACTTTGTGTTGAACCCACAGCAACATGGACAAGGTGACAGTGGGTGTCTTCAGGAGACTTTGTGTTGAACCCACAGACAACATGGGCTAGGTGACAGTGGGAGTCTTCAGGAGACTTTGTGTTGAATTGTGTTGAACCCACAGACAACATGGACTAGGTGACAGTGGATGTCTTCAGGAGACTTTGTGTTGAATTGTGTTGAACCCACAGACAACATGGGCAAGGTGACAGTGGGTGTTTTCAGGAGACTTTGTGTTGAATTGTGTTGAACCCACTGACAACATGGACTAGGTGACAGTGGATGTCTTCAGGAGACTTTGTGTTGAATTGTGTTGAACCCACAGACAACATGGACTAGGTGACAGTGGATGTCTTCAGGAGACTTTGTGTTGAATTGTGTTGAACCCACAGACAACATGGGCAAGGTGACAGTGGGTGTCTTCAGGAGACTTTGTGTTGAATTGTGTTGAACCCACAGACAACATGGACTAGGTGACAGTGGGTGTCTGCAGGAGACTTTGTGTTGAATTGTGGTGAACCCACAGACAACATGGGCAAGGTGACGGTGGGTGTCTTCAGGAGACTTTGTGTTGAATTGTGTTGAACCCACAGACAACATGGACTAGGTGACAGTGGGTGTCTTCAGGAGACTCTGTGTTGAATTGTGGTGAACCCACAGACAACATGGACTAGGTGACAGTGGGTGTCTTCAGGAGACTTTGTGTTGAATTGTGGTGAACCCACAGACAACATGGACTAGGTGACAGTGGGTGTCTTCAGGAGACTTTGTGTTGAATTGTGGTGAACCCACAGACAACATTGACTAGGTGACAGTGGGTGTCTTCAGGAGCCTTTGTGTTGAATTGTGTTGAACCCACAGACAACATGGACTAGGTGACAGAGGGTGTCTTCAGGAGACTTTGTGTTGAATTGTGTTGAACCCACAGACAACATGGACTAGGTGACAGTGGATGTCTGCAGGAGACTCTGTGTTGAATTGTGGTGAACCCACAGACAACATGGACTAGGTGACAGTGGGTGTCTTCAGGAGACTTTGTGTTGAATTGTGGTGAACCCACAGACAACATGGGCAAGGTGACGGTGGGTGTCTTCAGGAGACTTTGTGTTGAATTGTGTTGAACCCACTGACAACATGGACTAGGTGACAGTGGGTGTCTTCAGGAGACTTTGTGTTGAATTGTGGTGAACCCACAGACAACATGGACTAGGTGACAGTGGGTGTCTTCAGGAGACTTTGTGTTGAATTGTGGTGAACCCACAGACAACATGGACTAGGTGACAGTGGGTGTCTTCAGGAGACTTTGTGTTGAATTGTGGTGAACCCACAGACAACATGGGCAAGGTGACGGTGGGTGTCTTCAGGAGACTTTGTGTTGAATTGTGGTGAACCCACAGACAACATGGACTAGGTGACGGTGGGTGTCTTCAGGAGACTTTGTGTTGAATTGTGTTGAACCCACTGACAACATGGACTAGGTGACAGTGGGTGTCTTCAGGAGACTCTGTGTTGAATTGTGTTGAACCCACAGACAAAACATGGTCTCTAATCAGATACCCATCACAGACAGAACCCCATCTACCTTATATGGAGTCTGGTCTCAAATCAGATACCCATCACAGACAGAACCCCATCTACCTTATATGGGGTCTGGTCTCAAATCAGATACCCATCACAGACAGAACCCCATCGACCTGGTCTCAAATCAGATACCCATCACAGACAGAACCCCATCTACCTTATATGGAGTCTGGTCTCAAATCTGATGCCAAGTACTATTCCATGTGGTGCCAGCATCCCTATCTCAGCTGGGCAGATGGTGTGAAATACTGCACCCAAGCTGAATATTTAAGTTCGGTGAACTTTCCAGTCATATTTCCACATGACATTGTTGTACGGAATTGGGCAGCCTTACCTGAACTTGATACTGTGAATCTTCTTGACTCCATAGCTCCACACACCTCCCATCTTCTTCTCAATGAGTCCTCCCAGGACATGCTCCCACAGGTAGATGCCTGCAACACAAACATAGGTCCTTAGTCACAGGGTCCAGGTAGATCTACATCTCCCTCCCACACGACACAGGGTCCAGCTAGATCTACATCGCCCTCCCACACGACCACTGGGTCCAGCTAGATCTACATCACCTTCCCACACGACACAGGGTCCAGGTAGATCTACATCACCCTCCTACACGACCACAGGGTCCAGCTAGATCTACATCACCCTCCTACACGATCACAGGGTCAAGCTAGATCCACATCACCCTTCCACACGACCACAGGGTCCAGCTAGATCTACATCACTCTCCTACATGACACAGGGTCCAGCTGGATCTACATCACTCTCCTACATGACACAGGGTCCAGCTAGATCTACATCACCCTCCTACACGACACAGGGTCCAGCTAGATCTACATCACCCTCCTACACGGCCATAGGGTCCAGCTGGATCTTCATCACCCTTCCACTTGACACAGGGTCCAGCTAGATCTGCATCACCCTCCCACTCGAGACACGGTCCAACTAGATCTACATCACCCTCCCACTTGACACAGGGTCCAGCTAGATCTGCATCACCCTCCCACTCGAGACACGGTCCAGCTGGATCTACATCACCCCCTCCCAAACACACACACACACGACCACAGGGTCCAGCTAGATCTACATCAACCTTCCACTTGATCACAGGGTCCAGCTAGATCCACATCACCCTCCTACACGACACAGGGTCCAGCTAGATCTATATCACCCTCCCACACGACCACCTACGAAACCTACGAGCACGGGTATTGTGCAGACAAACCTAGAAACATAATTGGGTCGAACTGGGATTCAAACCCACATAGGTGTCTGGTGTGCCCAAGGGGCGCAACTCTGCACAGCAAATTGCGGCAGTTTGCCACCCCTGCCCCTAGGTCTATGATCAAGCTATGAAAGGATTTAACTATGTTTAATGTTGATATTGTGATATGAGCAAAACAAGATCTGTGGCAAAACAAATAGGGGTTGGCAACATCCGCCGCATGGTATAGGTTTACTGACAATACTGGCTTTGTATAGTTCATGTACTAACAAATGAATACGAAGCCTGGAAAACTTCCTCACTAGCCGACAGGTAAAAGTTATTCAGATAACATGTTGGACATCATGGCCACAACGCTGTTCCATTCCATGATCTTGCTGGAATATTGTTAACATGTCATACACACATCTTCAGTCTCTCACTACATACAGAATGATGTTCCTCTGATCTGACATCAGATAATCATTGAAACATTCATCATTACAAATACCAGCTATAACAGACAGTTGCTTTGATGAAATAAAATGTCTTTTATCTAGTCAAGCAGAAAAAAAACCAGAAATAAATGCATTTACCTTTGTAAAGACTTTCACATGAATGTTGGATTTCAATTTCAATTTAACATACATAAATGATCAATCACACATTTGAAATTGAATATGAAAAGAGACTTCTTATAAAAGAAATACCAAAATAAGTTTTTGATCATTTCACAATTTCATTCCTTGAAATAAACCAGATTCATCATGTCTTAGAACTTGACAATGCTCAATGAAAACTTAAGCAAATGTTCATGCCATTGGTAGTATTAAAAGAGAAATGTTTAATGTAATGAATAAAAAGTGTCCTGGATGCTTGCTACATTGTGCGCAGCTATCTTTGATCTCAAATCGGTGGTATTCTTCAAGATACAGCATCACACAAAGGCGTCTAAGGGCACAATCATTTTAAGATCATTATTGTCCTTCTATGTCCGAGCCATCAAAGAAAGACAGAGCCAATCAAAGAAGAATTATAACATATTCTTTTAATTAGGAAGCATTCACTCCAGGGAGAGGGCATAAATAGCCCTGTTCAAGACACAGTCCTCAACACCATGCTGTAAATTCACAAGGAAATAAGGCTGGTCAAAGAAAGTCAAACAGAGATCTTTGAAGGATGCAATCAAATAAGAAGTGAGTAGCGACAAATTTAGCTGACTTTTCAGCGAATGATTTGGAGCTGACAGTGACATGATTCTGCACTTGATTTAGCTGCAGTCTCACTGGACTCGGGAAAAGAAACAGGAAGAAGAAATGAGGCTATTAACACTCGCCACTTTGATCAAATATTAGGCGTACTTTGAATCTAATGGATAGGTGAAGTGTTTCAGCAAGTCACGCCACTCTTATGCAATAAACAGTTACAAACGGAGCCAAAATTGATCCACCACCCAATAAAATGACCCATAACTGTTCACCTCAAAAGACATGGTGTCTAATAGACCCCCTTATATTGGCTGCCTTATCACTAGATACATTCATCCTCAAAGTGTCCTGCACTGATCAGGTCAGGAGAAGAAAGAAGCAGTGAGGCTCCACCACCTGCACCCATGTACCTCATCATCTACTGCCCCACCTCCAGTTTCCATGTACTGCCCCACCTCCAGTCTCCATGTACTGCCCCACCTCCAGTCTCCATGTACTGCCCCACCTCCAGTCTCCATGTACTGCCCCACCTCCCGTCTCCATGTACTGCCCCACCTCCTGTCTCCATGTACTGCCCCACCTCCCGTCTCCATGTACTGCCCCACCTCCTGTCTCCATGTACTGCCCCACCTCCTGTCTCCATGTACTGCCCCACCTCCTGTCTCCATGTACTGCCCCACCTCCCGTCTCCATGTACTGCCCCGCCTCCTGTCTCCATGTACTGCCCCGCCTCCCGTCTCCATGTACTGCCCCACCTCCTGTCTCCATGTACTGCCCCACCTCCCGTCTCCATGTACTGCCCCACCTCCTGTCTCCATGTACTGCCCCACCTCCAGTCTCCATGTACTGCCCCACCTCCCGTCTCCATGTACTGCCCCACCTCCTGTCTCCATGTACTGCCCCACCTCCTGTCTCCATGTACTGCCCCACCTCCCGTCTCCATGTACTGCCCCACCTCCAGTCTCCATGTACTGCCCCACCTCCAGTCTCCATGTACTGCCCCACCTCCTGTCTCCATGTACTGCCCCACCTCCAGTCTCCATGTACTGCCCCACCTCCAGTCTCCATGTACTGCCCCACCTCCTGTCTCCATGTACTGCCCCACCTCCTGTCTCCATGTACTGCCCCACATCCAGTCTCCATGTACTGCCCCACCTCCAGTCTCCATGTACTGCCCCACCTCCAGTCTCCATGTACTGCCCCACCTCCTGTCTCCATGTACTGCCCCACCTCCTGTCTCCATGTACTGCATCCTCTACTGCCCCACCTCCAGTCTCCATGTACTGCCCCACCTCCTGTCTCCATGTACTTCCCAACCTCCTGTCTCCATGTACTGCCCCACCTCCCGTCTCCATGTACTGCCCCACCTCCAGTCTCCATGTACTGCCCCACCTCCTGTCTCCATGTACTGCCCCACCTCCAGTCTCCATGTACTGCCCCACCTCCAGTCTCCATGTACTGCCCCACCTCCAGTCTCCATGTACTGCCCCACCTCCTGTCTCCATGTACTGCCCCACCTCCTGTCTCCATGTACTGCATCCTCTACTGCCCCACCTCCAGTCTCCATGTACTGCCCCACCTCCAGTCTCCATGTACTGCCCCACCTCCAGTCTCCATGTACTGCCCCACCTCCAGTCTCCATGTACTGCCCCACCTCCAGTCTCCATGTACTGCCCCACCTCCAGTCTCCATGTACTGCCCCACCTCCTGTCTCCATGTACTGCCCCACCTCCAGTCTCCATGTACTGCCCCACCTCCAGTCTCCATGTACTGCCCCACCTCCAGTCTCCATGTACTGCCCCACCTCCAGTCTCCATGTACTGCCCCACCTCCAGTCTCCATGTACTGCCCCACCTCCAGTCTCCATGTACTGCCCCACCTCCAGTCTCCATGTACTGCCCCACCTCCCGTCTCCATGTACTGCCCCACCTCCCGTCTCCATGTACTGCCCCACCTCCTGTCTCCATGTACTTCCCCACCTCAAGTCTCCATGTTTTTCCCCAATTCCCGTCTCCATGTACTGCCCCACCTCCTGACTCCATGTACTGCCCCACCTCCCATCTCCATGTACTTCCCCACCTCCTGTCTCCATGTACTGCCCCACCTCCTGTCTCCATATACTGCCCCACCTCCTGTCTCCATGTACTGCCCCACCTCCTGTCTCCATGTACTTCCCCACCTCTAGTCTCCATGTACTTCCCCACCTCCCGTCTCCATGTACTGCCCCACCTCATGTCTCCATGTACTTCCCAACCTCCTGTCTCCATGTACTGCCCCACCTCCTGTCTCCATATACTGCCCCACCTCCTGTCTCCATGTACTGCCCCACCTCCTGTCTCCATGTACTGCCCCACCTCCTGTCTCCATGTACTGCCCCACCTCCTGTCTCAATGTCAACATGTTCTGCATCCTCTACTGCCCCACCTCCTGTCTCCATGTACTGCACCACCTCCTGTCTCCATGTATTGCCCCACCTCCTGTCTCCATGTCAACATGTTCTGCATCCTCTACTGCCCCACCTCCAGTCTCCATGTACTGCCCCACCTCCAGTCTCCAAGTACTGCCCCACCTCCTGTCTCCATGTATTGCCCCACCTCTTGTCTCCATGTCAACATGTTCTGCATCATCTACTGCCCCACCTCCAGTCTCCATGTACTGCCCCACCTCCAGTCTCCATGTACTGCCCCACCTCCAGCCTCCATGTCAACATGTTCTGCATCATCTACTGCCCCAACTCCAGTCTCCATGTATTGCCCCACCTCCAGTCTCCATGTACTGCCCCACCTCCAATCTCCATGTACTGCCCCACCTCCTGTCTCCATGTATTGCCCCACCTCTTGTCTCCATGTCAACATGTTCTGCATCATCTACTGCCCAACCTCCTGTCTCCATGTATTGCCCCACCTCCTGTCTCCATGTCAACATGTTCTGCATCCTCTACTGCCCCACCTCCAGTCTCCATGTACTGCCCCACCTCCAGTCTCCATGTACTGCCCCACCTCCTGTCTCCATGTACTGCCCC